ATAGTCTGTAAGTAAATTGAACTACTGTATCACATACTCAACTGTATTTAGGTGCAATGTGTAACTGAATCCTCGGGATTTTAAAAGTTTTTGACAATTTACTGATAACATCATCACTACACACTTCTTATGCAGACACATGCTTCAATCTACGTCAGCAAGAATAAATGAGCACCTGGTTGCATCTGCACCTGCCATTACATTGTCTTTGAATGCGACAATGCTTCCTCTAGAATTCCTTGTAGAATAATTTAGCATATGTTTTTGGTGGTCGAACTTCGAATTCTTTGTAACACTTTTCTCCGTTTTCATTGTTGATATTAAATCAGTGTATTGATGACAGTTTGTTCGATTTGCTCCTTAAACAGGTGAAAACACTTCAAAGACCTTTCATCATCTCTACCTTTATCAACAGCGGACAGCACTGCCTCTCAAAGCTAATGCAGTGAAGTCCATTGTAAGATGCACTCGATCACATCCAACTGCATGTAGCAAATGGCAAAGTATTTACATTTAAAACCATTCATCTAAAACAGCCGTCAAAGTGTTAGAAGCAGGAGTAGTGACCGAGCATTAGGGAAGTTCATCAATGTCACGGTCTAATGCCACTCCTGACACTCAAGCCTTCAGGAGCTACTTAGGGGTCTACTCCCCAGTGTGGTCCCCTTTTCCCTTGGATGCATCAGCGGTTATCCCAGTCATTGCTCACGCTGCCCTGCTCTTGCAGGACTAACCGATCCAGCAACACTCATGGTAATTTGCCCATGGGAGAAAAGTCACTTTCAAATTTCAGCATGATGCTGTGACAAAGGCATTTGAGAGATTTAAAGGATCTCTAATTCGGTAAAATGATGATTTTATGAACATGTTGCCCATCTGAGCCAATACATCAGCTTTCGTATCGCTATGTGTAAAGAACTGAAGACAATATCTGTTGTTCCTGGTTAAGCCAGGAGTCCACACCACAGAAAGGGATAAGAAGCAGGATGTAGTAGTGCCTATTTAAGATATTTATCTTGATAAGTATCACTTTAGTGGACATGTGGACTTGGTCAGTAAAAAATCATACATCAATCTATTGAGGCAAGGACAACATTTTCCCAGAGGTAGCATTATCCTTGAGTTGTGGTAGTTGCACTCCTTCAGTTTTGCTTAAATATTTGATTTATTGTTATAAACACAAATTGAAATGTTGTTTGTCTGCTGTCTATAGCGTCACAGCATCGGATAAGAATCAGGATCGCCTTAAATTTACAAAAGAAATGCTGCTAGAAAGTATTATCTGTGTGTATTTGTGTGTGTGGGAAAGAGACAGACAAAGACAGTGAATATAGAAAATAATTTCAATGTTTAAGGCTTTGTTTTCATTAGGGAAAGAATATTTCAGATTGCTGTTTTCAGAGGCCTTGTAATCCTAGAGTTGTATCACAAGGGAATCTCTGAGAACAGAGCCACAAACATAGAAGCTGGATGAAGACTGATGTTAACCATAAGCCAATTTAAAATGTCCATAACTAATGGAATGAAAAATGTGTTGCGTATTTGGGTCATATCACTATGGAAGAACTGTAAATTGGACGTTACCTCGATCAGCTTGTTGGCATGTTCGCGGAACACCTGTGCATATTCCTTGACTTCTTTCTCGTTGCCGTTCTTCGCAGCTTCGATCAGCACCAAAAGGGGAACATTAGTCTCCAAAAAAGAGTCTGAGACATGGTCCATTACAGCTTTACGCAGCTGTGAAGGGAAAAAAGGCAACGTTAAAATAATATATCCCCTTGTGTATATGCATTAACATCTTACAGTACAGCTTGTTTACCTGACTACATAGCATACATTCCCTCCATATACGAGATAGAGACATTGGCCTTAAAAGTGAATAGCTATACTATATTAGCTGAACAGCTAAGACATTTGTTGAGGTGAAAAATTATACGTGAGCAGTGGGCTGGGTTGACTGCTACATCACATGCTAAATAACATATATGTGTGTATATATATATATATATTATGCATAAAATAAATCTGGAGAAGAAATATAAAAAGGAAACAAACCTGTCTGCGAAGGTCTCTGGTTTTCTTTGTCATCCTGTCAATGGCTGTGTTCAGAGCATCACTCCTGTCCTTCCTTCCAGCCTGAAGCAAGAATATGGAAAAGTAATTAGTGTGCAGTCATAAGGTACCGTGATAACTGTTTCCAACATATTTGTTGCGGACGCTTATATAAACTAGCATTTGGATGAGAAAAAGGATAACACTGAATTTAATCAATCTATGTCGGAGTCTGAAAAGACTTCTTAGGAGCTGAAGTGAATGAAGGCAAAAGGGAACAAATCTGTCTGAACTAAAGTCAGACAGTTTAGAGGAATGTTACAAGTAATTTATCTCTCTGACGTGGTTTTCTTTTCAGCCCCCTTGAATTTACTCTTACTCTTGCCTTCTCTCTTCTAACTAGTATAGTAGTTGGACAACTGAAAAATGTTGTAGAAATAATTTTGTATGTGTTTGCTGCCTGAAATGACAGCACTTTGCAGCATTTTCAAAAGCTCTGTTCTCCCTGTCAACTCTTCAACCTGAGACCAGTGCTTTCACAGATCTCCAGTTGCAGGACTGAAACACTTTTTGAGACTGATATCCAGAACAAAGATGCAGAATTAAGTATTTATTTGTCCATATCAGTGTGGACATGTGCGACCGGTAATACAAATGGAAAAAGGCTGTGACAACACCGGGCAACAACAATGTAACGCAAAAGACAAAAGAACATTCTAATCTTGATTAGAACATCCCCATTGTCCTCATTTTTACTTTCTTCTCATATACAATTAGAAATGTGTGACGAGTAAGAGGTTCAAATTTTCTCCACATGGGTAAATGTGACATTATGTACAGTAACACTGCAACACCATAGGCAGTGGTCATACAGCTAAGCACTGCTCCCCGCTGAGAGCAGAGAGATGTTCCATCACATTCTGCCAACTGCTGAAGCATAAATTGAAAATCTAAAACTTTCAGGAATGATGGAGAGATGCAGCATGTGAGAGACTGAGAGACAGACATTAGACTAAAATAAAATTAGAGCAAAATTAGATGAAAAATAAATGGTAATGGAGGAAAGGCAAAGAACCAGTTGGACTCTGGGCTGTTAATCCCCCTTATAAAGCTTAAATCAAGTGCGACATAACACATGGACGGTGGTGGCATTGACCTACCCCATCCCCCACTGCCCTTTGCCTATTGAAGGGCTGTGTACATAGTTAGGGGCTGGGGAGCTCCAACGGCACTAATCCCCCCTTTTTTTGCAGGCTGGGGTGGAATGCTGTGGTAGGGTTTAGTCTGCTCTACCCCTACTCTCTCAATCCTATTTCATTCATGCCTAGCCTATATTTTATTTCCACACCAGAGGGTTCTAAAGCACTTCTTCTTCAGGTGCTTATTATGGAGGCTGTTTCTCTGCGGCATCTTTTATGATACTCCAGTGAGTCTCTATCCATCTCCTTCAGGAAAGATTTAGGAACATCCCTTTTCTACAAAACACCTAGTCCGCTGGATTATGGAAAGATTCAAAAGAAATAGCTTCACGTGTCAAATGATCACTGAGCTCAATCATATTGCTTTTCAATATTTCATCAAGTTCACTTAATAGGATGTCCCTTTGTATAATTTTTTTCTTGGAAAAAATGTTTTTTAAACAGCTTGAATTCCAAATGGAAATCTAGTACCCCTCTAAGTAAAAGGAATATCCATCATGCCCCCTGAGATTTAAGCATTTTTCCCCATGTTTTCCACTCTCACATTCTGCAGGGGAGTCCCAGTGGGAGATGTAGTCTACCACAATAACTGTGGAGAATGACAGCAGCATGCTAGTCAGCTGACCTGGAAAATCACAGCCAGATGTTTGTGTTGTCTTAAGAACTGAGAATTATGTGATAAGATTTATTAGGACATAAACATTTGGTAACAATAGTTTTCTGGCTCTCTACACAGTTCTGTGAATTTGTGACGCAAGTTAGCTTTTAACTATTCAAATTTCAATTATGAAAATAGAACATTTGTTTCAATTAGTCTTTGACTACAATGCACTGCCAAAGCACACAGAGTTAATTTCATTTCATTTCATTTAGTACAAGCTATTGCTTGAAACAGGTGAAACAGGTTGAAATAAATTAAGTAAAAGATGCTTGAGTGAGGAAAGGGATGACAGGGGGAAGAAAACAACAGTACTTGTCCTTAAGATGTTCTTTGGCATCTAGTCTTTGGCTACTTTAAATCTAGTTAATTGCAATTACCTTCACATCCATCTCCACTCCCATTAACTAATTAAGAGAAAGTCTTAGTGTTTTCAAAGACTGGACAAAATATATATCACACTCTAAATGGTGCTTTAAAATGGCGTTGGGATATGGTCTTCTTTTTACAAAACCACATGCCAAATCCATTTGCTCAATATTGGGAAAGAAATATCATATTAACACCATTTCAGTTACTTTGATCTCACCTTGTGAATCACTCTGTCAAGTAAGAGTTCTGCTATTACATGACTGGAACCAATACATGTTGAAAGCCAGTCTCATTGAACTTCAGAGCAGCTGGCCATACATCACATGCCAGTGCTCAAAAATTAAAGCACTGCACTCAGGATATGTAAATTATGAATATAAGCCAGACAATCCATGTTAGCTCTGCTATAGCATACTCCTATGGTACTGCAGCAAACCTATTTTCAACCCTGTTCATGTTTATTTTGACTAAAGCCACTTGTTACAAATTCAATTTTGCATTGTTATGCTATTTCATTTATGTCCAGGGTATAGTTCCATACATAGCCCATGCAGTGCAACGTCAAGGCGACACACAGATTTACAGCTGTGGTTAATTTCAACAGCAAGCTGCTGCAACACCTTCAAGATATCAATATTCTGATGGTGACGAGCCAGTGGGAAGGGGGAGGGGGGTCAGGGAGGAGGGTTGGGGGAGGCAGTGGGAGGTGGGGTAAGACTGAGGTACACAAGCAGTGTGTATGAGGCAGAGAGCAAGTGACTGAGCAAGAGAGTGAGAGGGTGTTTGTGTGTGTGGGAGGGAGAAAGAGAGAGAGAAACAGTAGTGATGATCGACGCCAGGCTGCCACCACTCTGTAGCAGTGAGTGGCTGCAACAAAAAGCACAGAATAACATCCCTGACTCCCTGCTCTGGTGTTTTCTCTCTCCCTGCGTCTCAGCTAGCAGACGAGAGCTTCGCTCACAGCTCTGCAGAGGCTATGCCGAGATTGAGCCGGCGTCGGAAGCAGGATCTCTAGCTGCCATCAACAAGTTAGGGTTGGAAGAACACAGCCATGAAAGAGGAACACTTGATCTTCAATTAACCATTTAAGCTGACATCATTGCCGTGGAAGGGAAACAAAAGGGTAAAAAAAGAAAGAGGAAAAAAAAGGAGAAGGAGGGGGTCTGTTCACCGGAGTCGCTCTGGATGCAACTGATCAACTTAAAAAAAATATAAATATTTATTTCAAGGATTTGTGGGATGAAGAAAAAGATTCAACACTCTCTTTCAGCTTGGATTTTAACGGACTGAGAAAAATAACAGGAATAAGCATCATCTCGGGACATGGAATTTCAGATTTTGTTTCATTGGGGTGGGCTCAGAATTGCTTTATTTCCAAAGAGGCTGATTCCTTTTGTGCTTACTCAAAAGGGTTTTTTCCCTTTGGATTTTTTTTCCATCTGGTTGCTCCAAGAGTCTGCAGAAAAGGACAGTTGAATGCAGCCTCCGATGTGCACAAAAGAATGGGTAAGTTAGCCCCTTTATACGGCAGGTCGGGACATGAATAGGGAATACAAGTAAGAGAGGGAGGCTGAGGACTAAAAGCTCTTCAGCGCAGTCTATTTACTGCAATCCTTCATTTTTCCTTCTTCACTGAAGCACGACTTGTGAATGTATACTTTTTAAATACCATTATTATTTTATGGTGCAGTTCTTGAGTGATAACAAAACTCGATTAAAACCATACAAAAAAAAAGGATGACAGCATATATGAGCTGCTCAAAAATGGGGAAAACATGGAAAAATGTCTAAATGAATGATGTATGAAGCAGAAAAATGTATATTTATGTTAAATCACAGAGCAAAAATTATGAACTAAATAGATAAGATAAAATTAAAAATAAGGGGGTGGAAAGAAATGCAGCTCCTGTATGCATTTGCTAATTAAATGCCTCATTAAATGATATCTCTATTAAACCTAAGCTCAAAGATACCGTGGTTACACAGATTTGGAAAGTTGTCAATGTAAAATACCTAAACTAGTGCATGTGCAAACAAACGAGAGCACAATCGCCATCATGAATTAGTAATAAGTGCTCTGCAGAGATTAGCTTTCCCGCCCCATAGTTCATTTTCTTATCTTTGAACCCACCCAGGTTTCCATTCAAGGTGGCCATTGGTGGGACCTGCACCAGCGGCTCTGTGTCTGTGTGTGATCAGCATGCTCCTAGTGTGCCTGCTGCCTCCTGCATCGTGCACAACCTGCCCTCAAAAATGCCGCTGTGAGGACCTGCAGTTCTACTGCGACACCCAGGGGCTTCAGGCACCCCCAGATGGTGTGGACAAGGGGGCCCTGGGGTTGTCACTACGTCACAACAGCATCACTGAGCTCAGCCCTGATCAGTTCTATGGATTCGGCCAACTCACCTGGCTCCACCTTGACCACAACCAGATTACCACTGTACAAGAGGATGCCTTTCAAGGTCTCTACAAGCTAAAGGACCTAAATCTGAGCTCCAATCGTATCACCAAGTTGCCCAACACAACCTTCATCCACCTCATCAACCTCCAGATACTGGACCTATCCTTCAATCAGATGACTGCATTGGAACCAGAACTATTTCATGGACTAAGGAAGCTCCAGATACTCCACCTTCGTTCCAATTTACTTCGCACCACACCTGTTCGAGCATTCTGGGACTGCCGCAGCCTGGAATATCTGGGCCTGAGCAGCAACCGTCTAAGGAGTCTGGCACGGAATGGATTTGCTGGGCTCATTAAGCTTAAAGAGCTCCACTTGGAGCACAATCAGCTGACCAAGATCAACTTGGCCCATTTCCCTCGCCTTGTTGCACTGCAGTTTCTATATCTGCAAT